TGTTTTCTTCCTGATGTGTGTGTTGAGCGGAAAGGATACCCTTTGAGTCGTGTACTCCTGAGACAGGATGCTGGGGACACTCTGGGAGAAACAGGAAGAAGCAATTTGGAACTGTGTTGGTTAAGGTCAGATTTCTTTAGAAACTTCTAGAAACTGGTTTTGGCTTCCTGACTGCCTCCCACTTCCCGTACCTTCCCCTCACATGGCTTGTTTTAGACACCTGGGTGGCAGCTTGGAGGGATATTGGCAGTGATCTCCAGTATCACTGGCTATATCCCCAGTATCCTTGACTCTCAGGGGATACATTTGAGGTACCTTGTCTCAGGTAAACCAGATGACAGACAAGCTTCTCTCCCAGGATTAGCCTTAGAGGTGTGGGGCACCTCTAGGAAGAAAGACCTCACCAATCAAATCCTGCCCACTAATCACATCCTGTACATTCTGAAACCATGAGGAAATGGATATAAATACTCAAGTACCCACATGTGAGCTGTGTGGCCAGAACGGAGTCTCTGGTGGTGCCAATGACTGGCATACTTGGCTTCTAAACCAAGAGTTGAAGGTTTTCATCCACTCAGAAGCATCTCAGAAGGCAGGCCTGGCTATTTTTTTAAAAAATCCAACCATTGAAAACCCCATGGTGCACAGTTCTACTCAGATACCCAGGGAATCACTGGAAGTCAGGGTTAGTTCAACAGCAACTAATTGGTGAATCTGCGTGGGAACAGATGGCACAGACCAGAAGCCAAAAGGGCTTCCTTTGGTCATGGCCTGAGCTGTGGCTGCCAATCTCAAATGGGGCAGCTGGCCACCACAGCCCCTGACCACAGAGAGAAGCAAGGTGGGAAGTGGAGAGAAGGGTCATAGAGATCATTGGGATATCACTGAAGATACTGCCCAAGTACTGGTCACAGCAGACAAGCCATAAACCTCACTCCTGCAGGTGGGCACTGGCTGGGTAGCATCTGCCAGTCAGCATGAAGGGAAGGTACTCCATATCCTCCCCTAGTTTATCCAGACTTCAGCCCAGGGAAGTGTCTCACCAAGTGCATGCGCACCGCCCCCCCCCCCCACCACACACATATCACTTGTCCCTTTCAGGACGAAGCTTTCTTTCTGAGAGCCCAGAGACAAGGAACCTGGAGAAACTGATAAGCTCAGCTGTGCTAGGCCACCAGGTCCAGGAGCCCAGCCACTCACTGACCCCTAGCCCGGTTCTGGGCTGAGCCATCTAGCTAGCTCGGTGCCAGCATTGTCCAGCATTAGTTTCTTGTGCTAGAACGTCTGTGTCTCTCTGGTTTATTCTTAGCCCCCAGGAAGCTCTGGCTCAGCATGACTTTGCGGTCATCCTGGGTAGACTCTTGTGGCAGAGAGCTCAGCTGACCTCCATAACTCACAGTTAGCGCTGCCTAAACTGATGTCTTTGCTCCTAATCACAGTGCTGCCCAGAGACCCCCTCCAGTCCAGGAGCCCCCCAATCTATCTTTCTTTTACTTCAGCTCACACTCAGCTCACTGCTGTGTCAGAGCTGACCTTCCAGTGAGTTTCCAGAGGCATAAATCACATGAGAGGAGACTGCCCGTCTTTCTCCAGAGCTGGTGGATTCTGACTGTCTGCCTTGGGCTTGGCTACACATCTTACCCACCGGGGCTCCCTTACTTTTCTGTCTTTGTGTGCTATATTGAGTTGGAACTGACTCAGAGTTGACCCTACAGGGGGTTTTCAGAATCTGTAAATCCTCTGAAAACCCTCTAAAGAAGCTCATCTTTGTCCTAAGGAGCACTTGGTAGATTCAAACTGCCTGCCTTTGGATTGGTAGAGCAGCTCCTTACCACAACCCATGCTGTTGTTGTTATGTGCCATCGAGTCGCTTGCGACTCATAGCGATCCTATGTACAACAGCCCTAAACACTGCTCTGTGCTGTGCCAACCTCACCATCTCCGACACACTCACTCCCACCATCTCAATCACAGAATCGATCCATCTCATCGAGGGTCTTCCTCTCCTGTGCTGTCCCTTCACTCTCCCAAACATGACATCCCCCTCCAAGGACTAGTCCCTTCTTGCAACATGCCCAAAGTATATCAGATGAAGCTTCAGAATCCTTGACTCCAAGGAGCATTCTGGCTTCACCCTCTCCAGGACAAACATGATTGTTCTCCTAGCAGTCCATGGTATATTCAACACTCTTCTCCAGCACCACAGCTCAAAGGTATCAATTTGCTTTC